TTCCGGGTGTTTCGTGATAATAAATCTTTCTGGGAAATGGGTACAATTGAGAAAAGAGTAGGAAATATGATTTACATAATTAAAGTTTACTCATAATAGACATTTGAACCAAATCAGGAAACGTCTGACGGACGATGCTGCCAGCAATCCTCCTGAAGAAAAAGAAGTCATGGATGTCATTTACGATACTTTTGACGTGCCAATACCTCAAGCAGCCCCGGAGCAATGCCGTTTAAAGAGGAAAACGAAAATGACGGACTTAATCGTCGTTAACCCAAAGAAAAAAGGTATTGAGACTCCTGTGAAGTTAATACGTAAGAGGGGTGTTATGGTGATTTACCCACGCACGCATGGACTCTTCCAGTTATAAATAGGAGCAGGTACTGCCTTTTGGAGAGGGAAGTTTCCTGCAGTCAGCTCTGACAGTTGGACTGAACATTCTTGCTGTAACACTCTCGTTTGTATATGTTTTATATTACTGTTTCTGTTAATATATTTGTTTAACTCAATTCCACCCTTTGTGTCTTTATTTGTGACCCTAACAAGGGCCACAAATAAAGACACAAATGTTCCGATGGAGTTTTCTCTATAGTACGTAGATGATATGAATTTAAGCGCAGTACTAGATTGACAGCAAGGTCTCTTCATTTTATCGGTGAAATGTCTCGATATAACCGTAAGTTTTATGATAACAGTTTCTTTTCTCGTGCTTGTGGAATTCTGGTCCGGATTCTTGCTTTCAGGTCATGTTTGATTCCCAAAAATTTAAATGTAATGTCAGTCGTTATCTCCTGCCTTCTTAATTTATGTCCCTTTATTGTCACACTCCTTAGTAATATTTTCTTATATTCTTTCACACTCAGCAACCCCCTGCGTGCTAGTGGCTTTGTTTCCTTGCTTGGGGTGAAAAGATATAAAGAAATAACTAATTGTTATGGGGTCCACCCCTTTTTCATATAAGTGGACTCGACCAGAGCGTTACTTGGACTGCTGCCGTTAAATACCCAGAGTCAGTCAGAATAGAGAGAGTGGGAGTGAGCAGAGATTGAGATTGAGATTGTGATTGAGTTGGAGGTAGAGTAATAGTGTGAGGTAACCGCTTGTAGAAGTCTCAGATACAAGTACGTAGACTCTAAGAAAGTCCTACTTCGAGACTGTATATATATATATATTATTATTATTGCTACTAACCGTGTTTCTGGATTTACTAACCGTATTACCAATTGTATTATTGTGTAAATACATTTAATTTCTTATATTTAATTATTGCGTTTGTCATTCATTGGAGACCCAATTTCATCTCGGAATCCACAACACTAATTAAAATTGCATTTGTTTTAAAAACAAATTCGTATAGGCATGATGAACGTTCGTGTTTTCTGCATCGCTGTCCATGTTAAATATACACTTTATAAGAGTTCACTCTATATATGCCATAGTCATAAGAGCTTCATCTATATCTGTCATCATCACAAGTGTTTCATCTATATATGTCATAGTCGTAAAAGTTTCCTTTGTATATATCATCGACATAAGAATTCTATCTATACATGTCGTAGTTATAAAAGGTTCTTCTGAATATGCCATCATCGTAAACTTTTCATATATATATATATATATATATATATATATATATGATAGTCATAAGGCTTTCCTCTGTATATATCATATCTATAATACTTACCTCGGTATGTGCATGATTATAAGAGTTCTGTCTCTGTATGTCATAATCAAAAGTTTCATCTGTATATAGCATAATCATAAGAGTTTCGTCAGTATATGCCATAGTCATAAGATTATTAGCTGTATATTTCATAGTCATAAGAGTTTCATCTATATATATATATCATTGTTATAAGCGTTCCATCTAAAATATGTCATAGTAATAAGAGTTACATCTTTAAATATCATAGTCATAAAAGTTTCTTCTGTATATGCCATCATCATAAGCTTTTTATCTGTATATATCATAGGGCTTTCTTCTGTATATGTCATATCTATAATAGTTTCTTCTTTATGTGTCATAGTCATAAATCTTCCGTCTCTATATGTCATAATCATAAGCATTTCATCTGTATATAGCATAGATATAAAAGTCTCATCAGCATATGTAATAGTTAAGAGTTCCATGTATATTTCATCGTCATACGAGTTTCATCTACATGTCATAGTCTACTTTGATGTCGTCTACAGAGTCATATTTTCTTTCTTCCTCAGGGGTTTCAGATATTTTCTGTAAGTTTTCATCATCAATTTCTTTTCTCAAAACATAACGAAAGACAAAACGTTAAGATAAAAACTCGAATCATGTTCTTATATAGCCTCATTTAATCGAAACTTTCATTTGGATGCCAGTCCTATGAATTCTCAGATATAACTTTCACCTGTATACTAACGTGTTCTCAGATAAATCATTAAAATGCTTCCCATCTAATGAAGGTTGTAGATGTTGGCGAGAACCACCCGTCTTCGAATTTTGTGGACTGGCTATACATTTTCCGTGTATTGCTTTGGGTCCCTTATATTATCTCATGAAACATTGCCTCAGAAAAGATTGGTAAATATATAAACGTTTGTCGTAATGTAAACATTCACCAGGGCCTTGGTCAACTATTTTTAGGCTGGTCAACATTAAAACTATCGATTCATATAAGACAATTAATTTTGAATTAAAAGACAGAATATAAAAATTATTTCGAAATTCAAAACGAATAAAATAAAAATAAAAGGGATATTCGACATTGAATGCTCCAGCAGGAGTTGAAATATCTTTGAAGACACTAACGTAAGCTTACAAACTCAAATTCTCTGATAAAACTAGGAAAGGCGAAAACGATATAATATTCTAAGCAATAATAAAAAACATAAATAGGAAGGAAGGAGCTGGCTTGAGAAATGGGTTGAATGTAGAATATAATTAATTAAATAGCATCGGTGTAAACCAGGACAAGTGAAGAACGTACCGTTTCTAAAAGCATTTAAAACACAGGTACAGAGAAAATAGAATAATGAATATTGCCAATCACTAATTGTTTAGAAAACTCTGGAAACACTGAAGGAAAGACCTAGTTAAACACCATATGAACACAAATATGGAGGAAGCAGCTTTTATAATTAGAAATGAAAACTTCAGTCAAAGGGAAGAAACGCGACGAAAATATCGGAATAAAATCCAGATTAGCACAAATATATCTGCACTGTTTTGAAGAATAAGGGAGCGAAAAACACCAGAAGAACGAAGAAAGTGTAGGCTTTAAATCTCTGTCTATAAAAGGCAGGATGTGCGTGTGTGTGTGACGAATGCACGGCCGCATTTTTCGACGGATTTTCACCAAAATTTACATGCACATGCTCCTAGTTAGCTGAAAGGCCAAGACCGACTCTGCATTTCCCAACTCTCATCGATAGTGGAAATAATCGATTTTTTCATGCTTCTACGGCACTTTTCATGTAGTTTGCGGCCATTTTCTACTGGCCAGAGTGACAGCCTATAGCTGACTGCCACCAAGAGGCAGGAAGATTCTATTGGCCAGCGTGAGAGCAAGCAGCTGACTGACACGAATGTTAACTAGCATGCAAAAAAAATCGATAGCTGCATTCGTCACAAGTGGGAAAAATTTAAATCTGCATGGCACTTTACTCCAATTGGCTCATTTGCTTGCTTAAACTCAACGTTGATTCTGATTCCGCAGAACTGGGTTGGGTGTGAAAATGTATTTGTTGTTAACATTCTTTTTTCATTCGGTTTTTCCAGTTACGAGTCCTTTTTTAAAGCTGATCGTTTGGTGTTCATTTTGTTTAGTTCTTTTTTCGTAACAGATTTAATGTTTAGTATAGAGCTTAGAAAAAATTCGCAGTGGGAGATAGACAAGAAGTAAGGCATGTAGCAACATCAGCACGGCAAAGGGCACTCCTTTAAAGGCAAGGAAAGGCAAAAATATTTTAAGTCAAGTGATAGCGATTGCTGTATGAGTTGTACGATTTTTAAATCAAGCACGTGCAACGCCAGGCCATGCTGCTAGTATCATGTAAATATCAACGTTAAAATACCGGCTTGAATAATAAGAATACTGGATACATTCAATATGGAAACTGAAGAATAAAACTAGGAAACTTGGAGAATATATTGATATAAACAGGATATAAATACAATTATTAAGGCGCTGACTAGAATAATGCGTACAATAATGAATATAATTAAACTCAAAGTTTTAAACAAAACTGGAAAAAACGATGACCATATTGGTCTAAAAGCATAAATTATGAATGTAATGGCTTCAACAATTAGAAGAATAAGGAATAGACTTAATCGCAAATCTTTAACCAAAATCTTTATTGTCCTACAAGCTATATAAATAGTAATACGAAGGTACAAGTTTCAATAAGGAGAAGAAATAAGGAATAGATTTATTTTCAAATCTTAAGTCCAAACGCGTAAAGCAGAAGACCATATTGACGCATAAGCAATTAAAAATAAGATTTTCGTCTGAATATCTCTTGGAATAAAATATTCTTCTTCAGGATTTAGGAGTGTATATCAGTCGGTTCTTGAATTCATTATAAGTGAATGGGGGAAATTTTCATAATTGCTTTCTGTATTAATTAATTCAAAGCAATTATCAAGTAATGTCTGTTTTTTTTCTAATCTCTTTTTACAAACTGAGATGTTAGTTTTCGTTTCTTTGAATTTCAGCTAGCACAGGAAGTCCAGGTTTGGTAAATGGGTGAAACTATAAAAAAAACTGCCTAGTGACTAAATTAGTACTTCCGTATTTTTTTCAGGCTTGCTTGGCTAGAAAATAATCGATCAAAATATTGGCTTTGACTGGGTTCGAACACTGACTACGTTAGGCACATCCGTTTTTTTTTTATCATTTACATTTTATTTTCTGCTGATCACCTAATACAAGGCCAAGGGGTCACTCGACAGAGTGGATTACTAAATGAAGTTATTCTAAGAATGTACATGGGAGAAACAGGTTGATATCATGAGATACAAAATGGTAAAGGGTAATATTATCCGTTTCCCTATAAGGAAACTTTTACTATTCATTGATCGAGCAAGCACTAATGATTTTGGTTGAAATTTATAAAATTCTTCTCTTAAAACGATTTTTCAGGAAAATAGGTTTCTCAAGTCCAGTAGCTGTTATCACTCTCTCCAGTATTGAGGGATTTTACTTCCTAAACTTTTATTTGAAGTATTGTGGAATATTATTGTTGTAACCTAGGAAGGGTTACTGAATGAAGAATAACGAAAACGGAGGATGAAATTGAAGTAATCTTTATAACAGCAACAAAATATAATACTCGCCAGCGGCGTGAAGTAGGTAAACCACTGCTAGTGGTGCACAACTTAAACAGTATATTACCCTCACTTACAATACGTGTCCAAGGTATTTATAAGGATTGGGACATAACCATTAGTGTTCATAGGTACGGCATATAACAGTTATCATCTTGGTTATATCATTATTTTCTCTTCGAGTAATATGTGCTATCCATTTTCTTTGTTGCTGCTGTTAGTAGTCTTCAAGTGAGGTTGTTTCTGTTATTTCTTACAGTTCTTTGTGATTCTGCAGCGCCAGTCAACGATGTTGAAAGAAGAGTAATCTTTGCCAAGACCTTCAGGCTTCACCCGCTCAGAGCTTTTTCTCACCATTAATCTTAGGAAGCAGCTATATACAACTGACAGTTTAGATATTTCTGAACTGGTTTGTGCCATGTATAGCACTCATATAAAATCTTTGATCTGGCGAGGTTATTTAAAAACATGACTTGAGTTTTTAGCTGATGTTTTCGTTTCGTAGCAATTTGCAGTGTAGAGTAAAACTATCCCTTGTACAATCTATTCTTTGTTCAATTTCTTTTTCTCCTTTACCTAACTGATATATAACTTGTTATAACTGATTAATACCCTGTGGTATCTGAAGTGTTTAGTAAATTTCATATATGAACTTTTTATGAATAAATAACGATTTGCCTTAGACTTAGAGGTTAAGTTTGTAATGAACGGGGAAGCACCCACTCGGGAGTCTTTTCCACAGTGCAACAATTCTGGTGAAGAAGCTGTCTTGAGGAGAATTTCCTGTTTACCAAATGGAATAAAAGATAAGTGGGGTTAATCGTGACTTGGCGGTTTCTAGCTGTGAAGGTCTGGATTGGTGAAGGGTTCGCCCAAACACCTGTTATGAAAATAGAGATAGAATAGCGAGATAGGGATTATACAGTGGAAAATAATTCATCACCGACAAGGCCGCGCAAATACATTTGAACTTTGTCATGGCAGGAAAGTTTGCATCGAATATCTTCAGCCCAAGTGTGACAGTAAAGTTTCATTTTTGTTTTGAAAATAGTGATAGAGTAGCGATATTCTAGTAATCTTTTGTCTGTGATATAGTAATTATAGGGTGAAAAATAATTCATCACTCACAAGACCGCGCAAATACTTTCTTTCTTTCTTTCTTTCTTTCTTTCTTTACGCTAAACGTTTTATTTCATTTTCCCCTACGTTCTTTCTTTCTTTCTTTCTTTACGCTAAATATTTCTTATCATTTTTCTTGCATTCTTTTTTCTTTACACTAAGTATTTTTTATCATTTTCTCTTCTTTCTTTCTTTCTTTCTTTCTTTCTTTCTTTCTTTATGCTAAACGTTTTATTTCATTTTCCCCTACGTTCTTTCTTTCTTTCTTTCTTTCTTTCTTTCTTTCTTTACGCTAAATATTTCTTATCATTTTTCTTGCGTTCTTTTTTCTTTACACTAAGTATTTTTTATCATTTTCTCTTCTTTCTTTCTTTCTTTCTTTCTTTATGCTAAGCGTTTTATTTTATTTTCCCCTACGTTCTTTCTTTCTTTCTTTACGCTAAATATTTCTTATCATTTTTCTTGCGTTCTTTTTTCTTTACACTAAGTATTTTTTATCATTTCTCTTCTTTCTTTCTTTCTTTCTTTCTTTCTTTCTTTCTGCTAAACTTTTTATTTCATTTTCCCCGTTCGTTCTTTCTTTCTTTCTTTCTTTCTTTCTTTACGCTAAATATTACTTATCATTTTTCTTACGTTCTCTCTTTCTTTCTCAATTATTTTGTTTCTTTATTTCCTTCTTTCTTTAATGCATTTTCAACATTTCTATCTATCTATCTATCTATCTATCTATCTATCTATCTATCTATCTATCTTTTTGTGCTAGCATCTTATGACAAGAAAGGTGTACGAGGTTTCTTGAGGTCACCGAATGTCTGGTAAAAAGATCTGCTGCAACTGTCAACACATCATAAAAAGAGTACGTCTCTAGCGATTCATACATAAATCTTAATATTCCAAAGAATAAAAAGAAAAGAAGAAAAGACATTGAAAGAGAAATGTTTTATGAAAAGAAATTATGATCAATATTACCCCCCCCCCATAGTCTATTTTCTCATCGGTTATTCTTGACTTTTGAAGATATATCTTATTAATTATTCATTAACTAGGTTTGGAAATTTATGACTAACTGTAGTCAGTCAATTGAGCAGCGTGCTGGTCATTATTGCATTTGGAATAGGTTTGGTTGGAGGGTGATTTGAAGCTGGTGAGAAAATCAAACATCGTCAAATGACAAGGAATGATAGGATATACTTATAGTTCTTGGAATTAGTCAAGTTTTGACTTTCTTACTTTTCTTCATATTTATACTTTATGTTATCCTTTCTTTCTTTCTTTCACTCAAATACTTATACGAATGTTTTTTTCTCTTTCTTTCTTTGTTACACCATTTTCTTCTTTTCGTTTTCATTCTCAAATACTTTCTTTCGAATATTTTCTGTCTTTCGTGAAGTCTTTCTTTTTTCCAATATTTTCTCTTTCTTTCATTGCAAAAACTCCTTCATTTTCTCTCGTTTTTTCTCTCTTTTTCTTATTTTTCACTTAATATTTTTCTGTTTTTTCTTATCCCATTTTTTCTTTCTTTCGAATATTTACCTCTCTTATTTCTTTCGAATATTCTTTATTTATAGGATTTTTCCTTTTCCTTAGATTCTTCTTTTTAAATATTTTCCTTTTTCTACTTTCTTTTTCTTTCTTACATTATTCTTATAAGTAATTCTGTCTGTTTAATGTTCTTTTTCACGTATATTGATACACCTATTTCTTTCTTTCTTTCTTTCTTTCTTAACGTATGATTCTTTTTTTTCTCTTTCACTGCACCCGTTTTCTTTCTGATATTTTCTTTAGAGCATTTTTCATTCTTTCTTTCTTTCTTAACATGATTTTTTTCTCTTTCACTTCACACATTTTCTTTCTGATATTTTTCTTTCTTTCTTAACATAGGATTTTTTTCTCTTACACTTCACCCATTTTCTTTCTAATATTTTTCTTTAGAGCATTTTTCTTTCTTTCTTTCTTTCTTTCTTTCTAAATATATGATTCTTTATCTTTCACTGCATATTTTTTCTTTCTGATATCTTTCTTTCTTTCCATATGATTCTTCTCTTTCTCTTTCACTTTCCAATGCTTCTTTCTCATATTCTTTCTCGTAAATATTTCACACTTTTTTCGCATATTTTTTTTTATTGTATTTTCCTTTCTTTCTTTTCTCAAGATACGATTCTTCTCCTTCTTTTCTATTTGTAGCTTCTTTAATTTGAAGCAGTAATTATTCATCTTTTATTCGCACAAAATTACTTTTTGCCAAGAAACAAAAGCTATCTTTTCTTAGCTTTCCCATAAATATACCAAATCAACGCTAACCATATGGCCCTAAATTTGGCACGATTCCAGAAGATTGGCTTTTAGCAATGTGTTTTGTCAGACTCGAAAATGTGTTACCACTTCGTCTGAGCATTTTATCATTTTCTGCCCAAAGATTACCTGTTTGCTAACATCGTAAAAATATATACATAAGGTACCAAACTTGATTGAAAAAACGTCTTTCGAAACAAATAACTTTGAGAGAAAGCAGACTCAAACAGATGGCTAATTTTCGATCTGGCGCCGTATTTTCAAACACAAAGCGTTTGAGCCGCTAGACGTGTAAAGATGTATATTGCACAAGGATAATGCATTCAATATGTTATAGAATAACTGAATCTTAATGTCGTCAGTGCAAGGGAGATAAGGGAAATCATCTTCCATGCACTAGCGATACAAAATGGGATGATTTTTTTTTTCATCACAATGACACACTGTTCAAAGGAATAATGTCATGGAAGTAATATATGTGCATTGTAGAAAAGACACTACCCCCTAAAAATAAATAATCTCCGCAAGGGGAAAGTGGATAATTTACGTAGTGGCGTTACATTAATCCGACAGAAGAACATTTGATTAAAAAACAGCCATTTAATCGCTGTTATACCTGGGACGATATCTCAGTGCTGAGTATGGTTAATACTGGTTATTTCAAGGTTCTAGAATTAGTATATATGAAGTAATGTTTCCAGACAGATTTATTACACTCATTTACGCGTAAATACCACTGGAAAAGGTATAAATCTATCTCTTCTTCCCCTAGATATAGGTTAAATAGTAGGCAAGACTGGGTCCCATAGCCTTGATTGCCAACTAGTTTACTGCTATACGGTAACCTAATGCGAGAAAATCTGCTTAGACAATCAAATTAAACATTATCGCTCAAGCATGTTTCTCGTTATTGCACTGATTAAGTCCTACCAGCCATCTCTCTGTAAGCAGGAGTGGTTGGTGGGCTTAAATCTAATTAGCCTTTAATGTTATATATTTTTTATATAATATTAGTCTGGTGTTGTTTACCCTTAAGTGGCTGTGCACATTTTTTTGTACTTGATTTTTGCTCTGATGACAGATGGTAGATAAACTGGTTTATGTATTTTTAAGCGTTATATTTTGGTATTGCTAATTTACGGGAATATATGTTTTCTTTTTAGATCGCTTTGTTATCATAAATTGTTTCTATCTTTTCTTTTCATATGTCTGCTTTTATTATTCTAATAACAACAAATAACCGCAAAAATAACAAATAAAATGAAAAAAAAAAACAAAAAAACAATCTGATCGATAAAACCGGATTTTATGGACGCAGAAAGACAGAAAGACCAACATGTGAGACTATGAGATTTCAATGAGATTTAAAGACCAACATGGGAAACTAGGGGATTTTAATTAGATTTAAAGACCAACATGGGGAATTAAGGGATTTTAATTAGATTTAAAGACCAACATGGGAAACTAGGGGATTTTAATGAGATTTAAAGACCAACATGGGAAGCTAGGGAATTTTAATTAGATTTTTTTTAAGCATTACGCCTCGAGCAAGGCGTGAAGTCACTAGGATCCAGGGGGTTGCAGAAGATTTGAAGCGAGAGCAGATAGGAGTGATAGAAGAAAGGATGAGGAGAGGGATAGTGGATAGATCAAGGTAACTGGAGATGTCGATTGACATTACATTTGAATAGTTGGAGATTATAGCTCTCAGGGAAACAGTAATAGGGAAGGGAGTTCCAAGGATGAGAAATGCGAGACATGAAGCTATTGAAGTAGAAGAGACGGCTACATTTAATAGTTTCGACAGTGAAAGGGTGAGAGCGGGATGCCAGCCTCGTAGGGCGCTTGAATTCTCATCGGGGCAATTACAATGAAAGTATTTGTAAAAAAGACAGAGAGAGGCGACGGGGCGTCTGTGAGAGAGCAACTGCAGACGAGATGCCAGATCAGGGCCAATTATATTATATATCCTTCTTTGGATCTTGTCAAGAACTCCGAGGTAAACAGAAGGTGCCCAAGACCATATATGGTAGCAATACTCCATGCAAGGGCGAATGGTTGATTTGTATATTTGAAGTAACGATTCTGGGGAGAAAAATTTCCTGGCGCGGCACAGAGAGCTAACTTTCCTTTCGGTGGACAAAGCAATTGACTGAATGTATTTGTTCCATCTCAGGTCAGCAGTCAACGTGAGACCGAGCAGACGCAGAGAGAGTTGCTCTCAAGAAGTTGACTATCAGACATTCTAAGGGGGGGGGGAGGATCTCTATGGTGATTAATAGAGTTTAGTTTAGTTTTTGAGGCGTTAAAGTTAACCAGGCAATTCTTGGCCCAATTAACAACCGATTGGAGGTCCGTTTCAAGACGCACGGTCAGGTTAGTTTTGTCAGCGACACTAGATTTGTTTTTGAGGCAGGAGTAAATTGTAGTGTCGTCCGTGTAGATGCCAACTTGGGAATCTATGGTGTCAGGAAGGTCGTTGATGAAAATAAGGAATAGAGTGGGGCCAAAACTGGATCCTTGGGGAACACCAGGGTTCGTGGGATAGGGACTGGAGGAGAATCGGTTGAGAACGACCTTTAATTCACGGTTTGACAGGAATGATTGTATTAGGTCAAACAATCGACCTAAAGAACAACATTGGGAATTAGGGGATTTTAATGAGATTTAAACGTCAACATGGGAAACTAGGGTTTTTTAATGAAATTTAAAGACCAACATGGGAAACTAGGGGATTTTAATGAAATTTAAAGACTAACATGTGAAACTAGGGGATTTTAATTGGTTTTAAAGACCAACATGGGGAATTAGTGGATTTTAATGTGATTTAAAGGCTAACATGGGAAACTAGGGGATAGATTTGAAGACCAACATGGGAAATTAGGGGATTATAATGAGGTTTAAAGACCAACATGGGGAATTAATGGATTTTAATGAGATTGAAAGACCAACATGGGAATCTATGACATTTAAATCAGATTTAAAGATCCAACATGTGAAACTGAGATTTTTGTAAGATTTAGAGACGAACGTGTGAAAACGAATTTATAATATTATATGACTTAATAAAATGTGTCGTAACTTACTTGCGAGTTTTCTGAAATTGCTTAGTACTCATTATCCTACTGCAAAACGCCCTTATGAAATTTGGCTTTAACCAAATTGTGAAGGATACATTTAAAATTCAACTTGTTATAAAAACTTGCAAATCTAATTTCCAAGACGCCGATCCATAGCGAGATATGCATATTTAGTAAATTGAGTTGCGTATAATCGCTATTTGGGACTTGTCGGAGAACTATGTCTTATAAGCTGATTTTGCTTGATCTGGTTTCGTTAGATCTTTCTTTCTTTCTTTTGTTTGTTTTTTCTTTCTTATATTTTAAAATCAATTCACTTCATGCAAGTCAATAAAACCACTAAAACGCAAAGTACAACCGGAAATGAAGAAGAAGGAAAATACTTAAGAGTTTAAGCGGGAAAGTTATAAGTATAGAAAGTACGTAGAATTTAGATGGAGCCAGGAA